CATAACATTTCGTGACGTCACTGCGTACATTGCATGCCTACAGTATTCAATACTCAGGCATACCCCTGAATTAGTGTTGCACAGGTCCTGCGTATACCACTTTTGACTCATAGGTATGGATTAATTGGGATTATTTGTTTGCGTCGAGTTCTCTCCTTCAAACACATGCAGTAAGTAATGTCTGCCAATTAATTTCCAGTGTAAAGGAGCAGTATCATGGGTCAGTAACGTTTTTGCTAAGACAGGTACCTCGGCGAGGTGAATCATGGTTCCGTGCCTTTGTAATGTCTTTCGTTCAAATGAACACGAACAAAAGAATCAGGTGCTCGTTGAAATGACAATGGCGCCAACAAAGAACGAGTAGCTCAAGAATGGAAAAAGTTTTGGAGCTAAACATCCCAATATGTCCGTCAACAACAAAAGATCACCTATGATGTGCTTAAAAGCGTCCAGCGGCAAGAGCAGCCCACAACGGAACCCAGCTATTGAACGAAAATGAAGCGAAACATTGGAATTTGAAGTAATGAACCGAATTTCTTTCTTGTATGAAACCCGCGCATTACATTAATTCAAATTCAAAGCGAACAATATCTGGCAGCTTGCCATGGGAGCCGCACGCGGCACGCGTTGCAAAACCGCAGGTTTATTTAGTCACCACAACTCGAAAAGATGGCGTGGGCTTGTTTACTTTCGTGTGTCGTGTGCATCACACTAACCCTCCTACGCGCTCTAGGAAGTTTAATGTGTTATGTCGCGACGCAGATGACTCACTCTCTTGCTGCTAAGACCCTGGTTTCATCATCGTGTTCATTCTTATATCGAATATTTGACTGCATTCGCCAAATGGCTTGGAAATTTTTTTGTCTTTTTTGCCGTGCGAATTCCTTCCTTCTTCTCATTTAAGATTGTATATTTAGCCACACTTTCGATGCTGGTTTAGTTTAGGTACTGATAACGTGAAATGGACCAATTGACCAAGCTTGTGTCAAGGCTTGAAACAGTGACAGCTAAGCTGGAAAACCTTGGACAGGCCAAGCCACAGCTAGCTCCGAAGCCTCCCCATTTGGGTGGTGGCGGCAATGGTGAGTAAATACCTTGAATAACTTTTTCATTTGCTGAACAATTCATTGTGGAGTGAACGCGTTTACTCGAGGTTACGGGTTCATGTACGGGGTCAGAAAGGGCGCCGGTTTGTGCTGGTTTTTAATGCTTTTTCAAGCGTTGGCATTTTAATCAAGTTACCTTTTGGAAAAGAGGCGAGAGTCTTCTCCAAAGTTGATTGTGTATTCAAATACCTCCCAAGAATTTAATGTGTCGGCTTCTTGAAGTTATTAGTATTGGATTACTAATGGCGGAGGATGCCGACGAGAGCGGTGAAGGTCACTGGTTTACAGTGGGGGTGGAACTTTCTTCGGCTTTAAAAAAGTTCTATTCAATCGAAACCCCTTTTCCCTCATTTACTGGTAAGCGTGGTAACATGCGTTACCAGTAACTTACTTTGCTATATGTCCCTATCGTGAGACGTTTTATTCCACAACTGTTTGCTGTTCTATTTTATGGTTTTCATTGCGATTTCATGGGTTGCGCTTAGAATTGCTGCGCCAGAGTTTGCTAGTTGCGACCATTCATTTATCATAAGTCGCATGTCCCCCCCCCCTCCCCTTTCCCCCCCCCCCCCCGCCCCCCTTCCTTTCCCCCTTTCTCCCCCGCTGCAGCGGAGCCTTCTGCGAACACTTGTACCCGACAGTTGCTCTCGAAGAACCTTCCATTGCCTCTCCCTCGCTTCCCGTGCTTTAAACAACGTCTAATCTGTTTGCCCTACACTTCGCATTGTCGATCTCTTTCGCTTATTAGGCTCCACTTCACGGCAAACAAAACATTTTGATTGTTTGTGATCCAGTTTTGTTTGTTGGGGCATACTCTGTCGCACTTTTGAAGCACGTTTGTTATTAGTGACCGTTTTCATCATACTTAGCTTTGAAATTCCTATAACTTTCGGAATTCATACCAACTTCTGATACCTAAGTGCATTTTAGTGGTACCGTTTCATTATATTTGTTGCCTGGTAGTTTCAGGGAGTGCAGTAGAGTAATGTAGCGCATTATGGGCAAGAAAAACCAATTAGTCCTAGTAAAATTAGTAAAACTTACTTGTCATGATCAAATAGTATTGAATTGAAAGGGGCAGTGGTGAAAAAGGAAGAGTTGTTTCAGTGAAGAAATAAAGCGCCTGAGCTGCTAGGTATTGCTCGAGATTTTAAATCGATATTATTTCCCCTCGATTATCACAGATGTATCGTAGAGCTCCACACTGAATGATGACATGCGGCTAATGTTGTGATAGAATTCCCAACTCCTTATTTCCTGCTATGTCTTCTCTCATTCCTCGTCCCTGAGTCCATTCTTAATAAAGTCTGGCCGAGTTTCTGGACGAGATTGTCGGCACGTCTTTCTCGTTTTTTGTGTAGTGCAAGAGGCCCATCGCGCGGCGAATGGACAGAGACGCAGAGGTAGCACATGCTAGTTGTCTGAATTACAGCAGCTTATCGTCATAACATTTGGGTTTCAATAAACTATGCGAGGTACCGTTATTTTGTGGCGTGAATTCAAAAATCCAACTTCTGGTAATTTTTTTCTTGTGTTGCAGCCGATGGATTTGCATGTCATGAAAATGGTCTCTTATAATGAGCTATTTGTTCATTAAGTATGCGTGAGGTAGTGCATCAGAATGAAGATCGAGAGTCACTGAGTTCTGCGGCTCACTAATCTTGATGTGGCGCTTTCAACATTACCAGTTAGATTTATGGGTAGTCGTCTTGAACAGGCGTGGAGTTTGTAAAAGTAATGGTTTTCATGGCAATCAACAAAGAAAATAAAAGAGCTCATAAATAAAGGGGATTCGGGAACTATTCATGCATCGATTTCCTGCTGCAATTGAAAGTGGACAGATGCTAGTTTGACGGACTCGGTCCCTTACACAGCCAGCAAACGCCGTGCGCGCGACATCACTGGCCGCGTTCGCCGCGCGATTCCCTCTTCCACTACACATCTTGGTTTTTGTCGCCAGCTATGCGATTCGTTGTGGGACCAATGCTTAACTTCTCTTTAATCTCATCCGATCGTGGAGCTACCAAAAACTACCAACATTTAAGAATTGGGAAAGAGGGGAGGAGGAGTTGTGTAATTTACGATGGAGGACTGATTCTTTGATTTGTTGATTTGTGAT